AGGAATATTCCACCCCAAAAAATGAAAATTCTCTAATTTACTCACTTTCATGACATTCCAGATGTGTATGACTTTTCTTTCTTGACATAAACACAAAGATTTTTAAGAAAATAATCCATCTCTGAGAATCCACATAACACAAGTGAATTGTAGCCCATGCACGTATGACTGGAAGTGATTGGAAGTGATTGTTAATAGTCAAAAGTTTAAATTATTAGTGTTGTTCTTATCTGTTGTTTCACTTCAAAATATACTGATTCAACCATTAAGGTCAGATGGATTACTGTCACGGTAGCTGTGTGTGGTTTTTAAAGCATCTTTAGGACTCACAGAGATGGATTATTTGCCTAAAAATCTTAATTTGTGTTTACCTGTCCAGTCGAAAGAAAGTAATATGCATTTGGGGCAGCATGAGGGTGAGTAAAAGATGAGAGTTTTTATTTTTGAGAGAACTATCCCCTTAACAATCATATGCTGTTGGTATGCTAATCCAAGATCAGCATAGACTAATACGAATAAAATGCAACCTCTTGTGTACTTGTGAACTGTGTTTGTTTTAATCTAGAGCTCCAACGAAATTAAAATATTTGCATAATATCAAGTGTCTGAAGATCAAGATCCCAGTCATTCAAAGGTGAGGTGTCTGAACAAAGTAAGAATCTTGTCTGATGGGGGCAATGGATCTCTGGTACTACCACTACATCCTCTGGGTCAGCATCAGAAGTTTGTTTATGGAAAAGTTGCTCCGCTCCCTGGAAATTAAGAAAGAACATACAATACAAACTGCTCTGAACTCCCATTAAACATTTCAAACAAAAAATATTTCAAACAAATAAACACACAATATATTTTTTTATATATATTATTATAAATTATAGATATATATTAGTATTAATGTAGTACTAAATACCTCAAAATTATGCACCATTTATCATCTGTAATACCCTTGTGTAACCATTAGATGGCTGTATAGCCCTATATATCCATGACTGTGTATACCCTAGTTACTGGACACTATTTTCAGTCATAATTATTTGCATGTATTAGGATTTACCTGAAATACCCCAAAATATTCATCTGAACTGACATTTTTTGCATTATTATTACAGTCAAATCTGGACACAGAAAAAGCATGGTAAAAAGGCTTTACATTGCTGAAGTTGACAGTGCAGTGATTGACAGCGCGCTTGTAAAATGGCATCGGTCATTGTCAGATACAGTACATTTAGTACTGTACATTATGTGCTGGGGGAAAATATGAACTAATCGAAGCAAATATGATCCAATTGAAGACTGTAACTGTGTGTAGATAACCAGGTGCTGTAATGATTGGGTTAAATCAAGAAAACTTACCACAAGTATCCTGATAACAACGATGATAAGGATGATGATAATGATAATGAAATCATTCGTCTGTGCTATTCCTAAGAAATCATCTCAACAATGTGGTGTAGCAGCAGATAAATACTGATAAAATAATAATAATAATAAAATATTTATATATATTTTTATATCATTAAAATGAAATTGGAAACCGCTAACACATCCACACTGGCAAGCCAACACTGTCACTGACGCCTTCACTTCCAGGTCAAGAAGCTGTCAATCAAAAACTCAGTAGCCAATGAGAACACACTGGTGCTAGCCCCGCCCCCACGAGAGATTTGTGTCAGAATGGCGAACGAAAATTTCAGAAACATAACCGAAAACTTCAGAAGCGTAAACGAAAGCTTTAGAAGCGTAAATGAAAACTCCGGAAGCACATTTGTAAGTACAAATCCACGAATGAAAGAAGAGAAAACATGCAGTGTTTTAAAAACGAAGTCAAAGATTTTGAAAATTTTTTTCAGTTTCAAAGACATTTTATTCAATTTCAATTTATATTTTCTTAAGTTTCTTGAAAAATTACATTCATTTGAACTGACACAAATGTAATCCCATACTTTATCAGGCATTACAGGCATGATGAAATTGAAATGAGACCAATCGGACCAAGCACCACAGATTCACACAAAGGAGGGGTTTGGAAAAATGAATCATTGAGTGAATAATTTGGGAGTCGTTAAGCAAGTAGTAAGTTAAAAATAAATGCATATTATAAGACAATGAAAGTGTTTTTTGTCCTTGTATGCATGTCAACCTGTTGTTGAGGACTCCCAAAACCAAAATATGAACCTTTCATAACCCAAAATAGGGGCACTTTAATGCACCTTTTAGTTGCCAAGTCCACAGGTTTCCCATGGAATTGGGCTACTTTAACACTGTTGCCGCTGGTTGTTTTTCATGTCAGCAGGTTGAATGCAAACTGTACCAGGGGAACCCCGCCAAAATAAAGTGTATTTTACCCTCGAAATGCCATTGGGCTAGTTTTGGCTGGTTATTGAGTGGCAACTGGGCGGGTTTTGTTGCGAAAAACCTGTCAACACTTGCGGCGCATGAACATGAACACTTGCGGCTTCATGTGCAGCACAGCAGTGTAGCACATGAAGTTCATTCACAATATGCCATCTCCACCACCCTCCTTTATTACTGATACGAACGCCAGAAATAAAAATCACAATTGTGAGATAAAAGAAAAACTGCGACTATCTATCTAAATATATTTTTTGAGTTGTGTGCTTTTTGAATGTTAGTTGTAGCTATGTCCCATTGTTCATTTAAACACATAGGCCTACATTTTTTATTATTTTAATGATTTTACTGTCACTTCATCAGTCAAAATCCACATGGGGTTCAGAGTAATTTTATCCACATTAATTTCACACTTATCTAGTACAAATATGTCGCTTTGTTTCATAATTACAGTGTATATGTTTTTCTTTCTTTCCTTCTTTCTTTCTTTCTTTCTTTCTTTACCCCAAAATAATAGACGTGAAAGGGTGAAAGTGAAATCTGAGGGTCACATTGTAACATGACCATAGAGCTTAAAAATGTTATCTGATCTAATGAAAAAAAAAAAAAAAGATACAAGACAAACTAAAATATTTTTGGCAATAAAAAAAAAAATCTGAATTAAAAATAACCTAATTTTGGAGTTTGGACAGCCCTGATTACAAAACTTAGCTATATAGCCTAGTTCAAAACAATGTGGGCAAATAGATGAAGAAACACACAGATGAACACAACACTCCCCTCACTCCACACACAGCTCTCACAGAACAGGAAACAAATAGACGAGCCAAAATGTGTTTTACATTTCTTGAAATAATAGTTTCTAAACATTAAACATTGACTGACACTTTTTATTCACCTGTGTCTCCTAATTTCTCATTAAAATTCATAAAAATCCTAAATAGTGTAAATTACATCGCTAATGTCATAGAATACCATTGTACGCACTAGTGCTGTGTTCGATACATCGATTCGACGATATATCGTCACAGAGGTGTGACGATACAAGTATCGATACAGCTGGCCCTGTATCTATACTGTGGCACGTGTGCAGCAGTGGAACGCGCTTAATTTGAATACAAGAACAACTTTAAAATTGAGTAGAAAAGTGCAGGTTTCTAAAAAAAAATAAAAAATGAATAGAGCATAATATATAGGCTACAGCAAGGTTTAATCTGGCCGCAGAGGAACACAACTGGGTTGCCTGATATAAAGAGACGTAATCCCCGACACAGAGCTTCACACTTTCGCAATAAGGAAAAAAATCTGCTAAGTGTGTTACTTTGTCAACCTGGCAACCATGTGCACACGCTCTCTCTCCACTGGATAAACGCGCTTGCTTTCTGAAAACACCGGTTAGCTTGCAGTTTAGCGATCTCCACTTCAATATTCTATTCTCAGAAAAGTGTAATTCATCAAGTGTTCATTTATGAGGAGGGGAGCTGTGTATGTATGAATTACCACCATGTTGCCGCGTTTCTCTATTAACAGTGAAGCTGTGGCTTTAATTCCTTTGGAAACAACGATGTGACCAGCTCATGGTTGAGAAATATAATGTAGCTCTTGAGCGATTAAGCTATTTAGTTGATAAAATTGCGGGGCAGCGCTAAAAAGTTTGTTCCTGAATGTCTGAGTGCGGCCGCAACATGATCTGTGTGAGTGACTGAACTGTGTGTGCACTAGATACAGAAGACACAGCGCATTAGTTTAGAACTATTCTCATTTTTATTTTTATTTTTTAAATGCAGAGTGTGTTAATTTGTGGAATGATAACCTACCAGCAATGTAAATATGATTTTTTAATATAGGCTATTAGAACGAGTACATTGCAATATAACTTTATTAGAACGAGTACATTATTATTTATGGGCTTAGAAACAAGATGCAAACAATCAGAATATTGTACCTGGTGGGGAGTGCACAACGTAAACATGAAACATATGCCATTACCTATACTGTACTGTGGTACAGTTATGGAAGCCCTTCATAATGCAGAGGTCAACTGCCTGCTCTGCCGATAGTTAGCAATGAGCCTATAGCATGCAGTGTTTCATAAACAGTTTTACTAAATTCTGCTGAGGTGAAGTGCAGTCCTGTATCATGATATGTATCGTATCGTGGCCTCTGTATCGTGATACGTATCGTATCGTGACTTTGCTGGTGATATACACAGCCTATAGTATGCACATTGTATGCCAGTGTTATAGCATTCCTTGAAGCATTAAAAAAACTGATAAATAACAGATTCGAGATGAAAATAATAGCAGATTTGTCTCGTTTAAAAGCAATACTAAAAACTGAGATTTTTCAGCGATATCTTCAAAAGAGTTTTTTTTATTTTGCTGTTTTCGCACTTTGTTCTCTATATAGTGTTAATATGACAACTAGTAAATACCTAAATGTTATGTTAGCATGGAAATGAACAGATTTGAGATGAAAATAATAGCAGATTTGTCTCGTTTAAAAGCAATACTAAAAACTGAGATTTTTCAGCGATATCTTCAAAAGAGTTTTTTTATTTTGCTGTTTTCGCACTTTGTTCTCTATATAGTGTTAATATGACAACTAGTAAATACCTAAATGTTATGTTAGCATGGAAATGTTTAAACCACGTGTGTTACAAGTAACCCGGCGCACCCCTAAGCTTAAACCTCCTCACAAGAATCGTATAACATAGACCAGGGGTGGCGAACGTCGGTCCTGGAGAGCCGCAGCCCTGCAGAGTTTTGCTTCAACCCTAATCAAACACACCTGAACAAGCTAATCAAGGTCTGAATGGTTTCTAGGAAGCTACAGGCAGGTGAGTTTTAATTAGGGTTGGAGCTGAACTCTGCAGGGCTGCGGCTCTCCAGGACCGGAGTTCGCCACCCCTTTCATAGACTATAAAATAAATATAAGGCTAAACTGTCTGCAGAATTTTGTCATATTTGTTCTGCATTTAAACATTTATCAAGAGTTAGAAAATACACCAGCACTGTAGAAAAAGACATTATAGGCTACAAATGAATATGCTACTAATAAATTATATTTTATATATATTATATATATATATATATATATATATAGCCTAAATATATTCTTCATTAGACTTCTTCAGGCCGAAGCAGTAGGCGGCGCTGTGGGGTTTAGAGTGTTTCCGTACACACTGTGGACACGTCATGCTTGCGGAAGAGTAAAATCCTCTGCGCATGCGTTCAACTGTCTTCGTAATTTTGGGGTTCAAACCAGCGGACGAAGGTAAAGTGGCTGCTAAATATTTTCTTTTTTGAAAAACTAAATATGCTGTGAATGACACATTACAATACGTTTTGTCTTTATGCTGTACGTTATACGCAAGCAGTATAAATGTATGTATGCTATTTTTTTTTGTTTTTACTTTTAAGTGCATTCTGAGTACTTTACACACTTTTAGTAATCCAGTTAAGCCTTCAATCAATCTCTTCTGTCTGTTACTGATAGCACCTAACATCATCAGTACTGTATCAGACACTCGGGATGGGATGCTTTATTTATTTTAGTTTTTTAGTAGATTATGTTCCTTAACTCATCCTCTCCACAGTGCCAGTAATGTTTCTCACACAGTGGTTCTGCGGCCTCTAAAAGCTGGATACTTCAACTTCACCTCTGCTTCTGTTAGTTACCTGGCCCAGGAGGGTGGACAGGTTGTGGTGAGTGGAGTCCCATGCTACCTTTCATATACACAGTCATCATAAGGAAATGTTGTTGTTTTTTACTGTGCCTAAATTAGCGATTATATTGAGGGAAAAAAATGTTACCATATTAATGCCAAAAATCAACATTTGGCTAAATGTTTTATTATTACAGTCCATGTAAATGTAGTTACTGGCTGTTAGCTAAGACATTTCTCACATTGCTCAGGTTGGTTACACAAGTGCTCCGGGTCAGGGAGGCATCCTCGCCCAGAGAGAGTTTGACAGACGCTTTTCTCCACATTACGTAAGTGTTTTAATATAGAAAATTGTGTATAATGGTCTTTAATGTATGATTGTCTGTGCTGTTTTATTGAAATCTAATCTCTGTTTTTCTAAAAGCTGGACTGGGCAGCTTTTGGTGTCATGACCCTTCCCTCCATTGGCATTCCTCTGCTCCTTTGGTACTCCAGCAAGAGGAAGTACGACTCACCGAAGAGCAAAAAGAACTGAGTTATCTAATACCAGACAAAAACAGATTAGGGATCATTGTGTGAATGGGTGGGTGTTAAGTGAATTATGGTGCAGTTGAGAATGTTGTTTTTGAATAAATTAATTACCCATATTGGGGTAAATGGTCAATGATTTAATCTGTTTTTAAGTGGTGTTGATCTTCATCAGAAAATTTGTTTGAGGGATAAGCATCAAATAGGTGGTTAACCAACTGCTTTTGATATTTAAAGTGGCCATTCCATGGTGGCTTCAGGTACACATCTTATTTTTTGGTGTGTTTTTTTTGTAATGATTCTCAAATGCTAAACAGAACTGCACAGTCCTTCATGACCAATGTGGGGCTTGTTTGTGGAAATAAAAGGGTTTTACAGAGATGCTCTCATTGTGTGTCTGGTCACTCACCGAAATACGCTTTCATCTGTGTGTCTGCTTTCTTGTTCTGTGATGTTCTTCTCATGCAGTGATTAGTGCGTACTCTTTTATGGTAATATCATCAGCTAAATAATTCAAGCTAGTTATATTATGGTCTATCAAACATCACTTGAAGCTATTATCAAACTTTAGGTAATTAAAAATGAATAGGGAGGGCTGCAATTCACCGAAACAAAATCTGTGGTTGGTAATCATAATATATTTGATTAAAAATTTTTCTGAAATTATTTACTGTGCAATTAGAACTGAATGAGTGACTAATTCAATGAAAAAACTATTCAGATACAATTTAAATAAATGAAAAACAGATAAACATGCCTACAATAGTGATGGGGAGATCACTATTAACAAGCCTTATAAATGTATATACAGCTTATAAGTAATGTTTTGGTACACATATGTCATCCTAATATCACTATGCTGATTTTAATCTCATTATACAGAGTTGCTTTCATCTGTGTGTCTGCTTTCTTGTTCTGTGATGTTCTTCTCATGCAGTGATTAGTGCGTACTCTTTTATGGTAATATCATCAGCTAAATAATTCAAGCTAGTTATATTATGGTCTATCAAACCTCACTTGAAGCTATTATCAAACTTTAGGTAATTAAAAATGAATAGGGAGGGCTGCAATTCACCGAAACAAAATCTGTGGTTGGTAATCATAATATATTTGATAAAAAATTATTCTGAAATTATTTACTGTGCAATTAGAACTTTGAATGAGTGACTGATTCAATGAAAAAACTATTCAGATACAATTTAAATAAATGAAAAACAGATAAACATGCCTACAATAGTGATGGGGAGATCACTATTAACAAGCCTTATAAATGTATATACAGATAAGTAATGTTTTGGTACACATATGTCATCCTAATATCACTATGCTGATTTTAATCTCATTATACAGAGTGTTTACAAATGAAACATTCCTTTGGTGAAGTCAAAGGTCTATATAATCCTGAGGTCAGCGTTTGTGATTTGGTGGGGGCAGACATGCTCTAGAGCTGGTTGGTCTTTCTGGAATCTGCTCATAAATGGAGCTGGAGGAAGCATTCAGATTTGGCTCCTCTGAATGATGAAAATCAGAGTGTTGTGGTTGAGTCATCAGTGAGGACACACCAAAACTCTGAGGGAAAATCATAAAATTTAGCATTTTTATAAGTGATTGAGCACTATATACTACACAGAATATATTCATAAAATATTCTCATCATGGATATTTACCTGCCCGCTGAGCTCTGGTCGCAAAGGACCATGAGCAGATCTTGGGGGTGGTCTTAGAGGAAGACTAGGCCCAGGTCTTGGTACAGCAAAGCTGTCTTGGGCACCCCTGATGTTCACCTCTGAATACAGATGATTCTTTGGAAGGTTCACTGAAGAAAAGTTCAAAACATGCACCAAATAGCCATTTATATGTTTTATATATTATTATTTTAGTGACTACTTAGTGCATGGTTCTTTTGAAACCATTTCAAATCATTTTTATATCTGAAGACAGGAAATGTTCAAAACTAAGTAAGTCCTGAGCCAGTTTTGATGCTTGTTTTCCTAATTTCTCACCTTCATCCCCTGCTGCCTGCCTCCTCCACCCCACGGCATAGCAGTCAATCTCTTCTAGACGACTGTGTGTGTGGGGGGGTTCTTCATAAGTGTGCTCCAGTTTCCAGTATTTCGGGTTTGCTGCTGTTGTGTCAAAGTTTGAGATGGATGGAGGGGTAAAGGCTGCTATTGCTCCCTGGAGGTCAGGTTGGGCACTGAAGTTGGGGGTATTTTCTGATACTGCTCTGGGGGGTTTGTTAACTCGAGCATACTGGACATCCACAGGAGAAATTTGATCCCCTGTTAAATTAAGATTTGAGGGTCTTTCAGCAACCTCAGAACTGCCATTCTAGAGGGAGGAAAAGGGTAAGGTGTCCTGTTAGTGTATAATATTATAACTTTGACATTAAACACTTAAATAAAAAAACTAAACTCTTCCTCTCTTTACCCTTAGGAAAATAAACCATGGTTTTATTATGGTAAACGTGTAGTAACCATGTTTTCTTTTCTTTATTTCTTTTTTTTTTTGCCGTAATAGCATTTGTATAACCACAGTTCATGTAAAATCATGGTTCATTTTAGAAAGGGTAAGCTTTGTGTAATGCACATCACACAAATACAACAGTATGGCACAAGGCAACAGAAGCTTTGTACAGAACTTTTGTTATCTAGTAAATGTGAGTTGTTTCTGGAGTTAGTTAACTCGCCTTTAGAAGTATTAATTCAAAGAATCAGTTGCTTCGGGATTTGGATTAGCAGCATGGTTTTTGATTCACTAAATTGAAACGGTTTAAACGAATCATTGGTTCCTAAATCAGAGCATACTACACTTGTCGCGTAGCATGTTTGTTTGTTCGTGTAGTCTGCGATGATGACAAGTTGACAAAAGATGTTTTTCTTGGCATTATGCCACCATACTCAGTCTTGTTACTGCATCACACGTAAACAGATCTGGTTTATATGAAGAAAAATTATATTGACGGTGTAAAATTGGTGCTGGAATATTCTTAGAGTTTGCTTACTGTTGGCAGGGGCGGATCTAGAAAATAATTTTTAGGGTGGCAAAGGGGTGGCATGCGGTCTATGAGGGGTGGCAACTTGGTCTTTCTGGAATCTGCTCATAAATGGAGCTGGAGGAAGCATTCAGATTTGGCTCCTCTGAATGATGAAAATCAGAGTGTTGTGGTTGAGTCATCAGTGAGGACACACCAAAACTCTGAGGGAAAATCATAAAATTTAGCATTTTTATAAGTGATTGAGCACTATATACTACACAGAATATATTCATAAAATATTCTCATCATGGATATTTACCTGCCCGCTGAGCTCTGGTCGCAAAGGACCATGAGCAGATCTTGGGGGTGGTCTTAGAGGAAGACTAGGCCCAGGTCTTGGTACAGCAAAGCTGTCTTGGGCACCCCTGATGTTCACCTCTGAATACAGATGATTCTTTGGAAGGTTCACTGAAGAAAAGGTCAAAACATGCACCAAATAAGCATTTATATGTTTTATATATATTATTTTAGTGACTACTTAGTGCATGGTTCTTTTGAAACCATTTCAAATCATTTTTATATCTGAAGACAGGAAATGTTCAAAACTAAGTAAGTCCTGAGCCAGTTTTGATGCTTGTTTTCCTAATTTCTCACCTTCATCCCCTGCTGCCTGCCTCCTCCACCCCACGGCATAGCAGTCAATCTCTTCTAGACGACTGTGTGTGTGGGGGGGTTCTTCATAAGTGTGCTCCAGTTTCCAGTATTTCGGGTTTGCTGCTGTTGTGTCAAAGTTTGAGATGGATGGAGGGGTAAAGGCTGCTATTGCTCCCTGGAGGTCAGGTTGGGCACTGAAGTTGGGGGTATTTTCTGATACTGCTCTGGGGGGTTTGTTAACTCGAGCATACTGGACATCCACAGGAGAAATTTGATCCCCTGTTAAATTAAGATTTGAGGGTCTTTCAGCAACCTCAGAACTGCCATTCTAGAGGGAGGAAAAGGGTAAGGTGTCCTGTTAGTGTATAATATTATAACTTTGACATTAAACACTTAAATAAAAAAACTAAACTCTTCCTCTCTTTACCCTTAGGAAAATAAACCATGGTTTTATTATGGTAAACGTGTAGTAACCATGTTTTCTTTTCTTTATTTCTTTTTTTTTTTGCCGTAATAGCATTTGTATAACCACAGTTCATGTAAAATCATGGTTCATTTTAGAAAGGGTAAGCTTTGTGTAATGCACATCACACAAATACAACAGTATGGCACAAGGCAACAGAAGCTTTGTACAGAACTTTTGTTATCTAGTAAATGTGAGTTGTTTCTGGAGTTAGTTAACTCGCCTTTAGAAGTATTAATTCAAAGAATCAGTTGCTTCGGGATTTGGATTAGCAGCATGGTTTTTGATTCACTAAATTGAAACGGTTTAAACGAATCATTGGTTCCTAAATCAGAGCATACTACACTTGTCGCGTAGCATGTTTGTTTGTTCGTGTAGTCTGCGATGATGACAAGTTGACAAAAGATGTTTTTCTTGGCATTATGCCACCATACTCAGTCTTGTTACTGCATCACACGTAAACAGATCTGGTTTATATGAAGAAAAATTATATTGACGGTGTAAAATTGGTGCTGGAATATTCTTAGAGTTTGCTTACTGTTGGCAGGGGCGGATCTAGAAAATAATTTTTAGGGTGGCAAAGGGGTGGCATGCGGTCTATGAGGGGTGGCAACACCAAAACAAGCCCCCATGCATAGTTTTTGGGGATTTATGGTCTGACCTACGCAGTTGTGCAACTTGTGTTCACAAATATTGTATTACCATTAAGTAATCATCTATACTGTTTAAAATGAAAAATAAATAACAACATTTCAATATCCGTCATGGCACCAAGTCAATACACAACATAAAAAACTCCAACAGGTTATAAATGTTTCTGAGCTTGTATCACTAAAGACATGCAGTTGTACACACAAAATGCAAAATGCTTTTTGGAATTCCAATTTTATGTTTTTTATAATAATTTTACAACTTTTAATGTATGCAATAATATAAATCTATTAAACGACAACCCCATTTGATCTAAAGGTATCAAACCAACTGTAAAATATTCAGAATATTATTCCTTATAATGCACAAGTCTTGGTTTTCCAGATTATGCCTTTACTGTTTTTATATACAGTACTGAATCCATATTTGTCATGTTTATTATTCTGTATCCACTTAAATTAATTACATTCTGACAGTTTGAGATAAAGGTATCAAACCAACTGTAAAATATTCAGAATATTATTCCTTATAATGCACAAGTCTTGGTTTTCCAGATTATGCCTTTACTGTTTTTATATACAGTACTGAATCCATATTTGTCATGTTTATTATTCTGTATCCACTTAAATTAATTACATTCTGACAGTTTGAGATAAAGGTATCAAACCAACTGTAAAATATTCAGAATATTATTCCTTATAATGCACAAGTCTTGGTTTTCCAGATTATGCCTTTACTGTTTTTATATACAGTACTGAATCCATATTTGTCATGTTTATTATTCTGTATCCACTTAAATTAATTACATTCTGACAGTTTGAGATAAAGGTATCAAACCAACTGTAAAATATTCAGAATATTATTCCTTATAATGCACAAGTCTTGGTTTTCCAGATTATGCCTTTACTGTTTTTATATACAGTACTGAATCCATATTTGTCATGTTTATTATTCTGTATCCACTTAAATTAATTACATTCTGACAGTTTGAGATAAAGGTATCAAACCAACTGTAAAATATTCAGAATATTATTCCTTATAATGCACAAGTCTTGGTTTTCCAGATTATGCCTTTACTGTTTTTATATACAGTACTGAATCCATATTTGTCATGTTTATTATTCTGTATCCACTTAAATTAATTACATTCTGACAGTTTGAGATAAAGGTATCAAACCAACTGTAAAATATTCAGAATATTATTCCTTATAATGCACAAGTCTTGGTTTTCCAGATTATGCCTTTACTGTTTTTATATACAGTACTGAATCCATATTTGTCATGTTTATTATTCTGTATCCACTTAAATTAATTACATTCTGACAGTTTGAGATAAAGGTATCAAACCAACTGTAAAATATTCAGAATATTATTCCTTATAATGCACAAGTCTTGGTTTTCCAGATTATGCCTTTACTGTTTTTATATACAGTACTGAATCCATATTTGTCATGTTTATTATTCTGTATCCACTTAAATTAATTACATTCTGACAGTTTGAGATAAAGGTATCAAACCAACTGTAAAATATTCAGAATATTATTCCTTATAATGCACAAGTCTTGGTTTTCCAGATTATGCCTTTACTGTTTTTATATACAGTACTGAATCCATATTTGTCATGTTTATTATTCTGTATCCACTTAAATTAATTACATTCTGACAGTTTGAGATAAAGGTATCAAACCAACTGTAAAATATTCAGAATATTATTCCTTATAATGCACAAGTCTTGGTTTTCCAGATTATGCCTTTACTGTTTTTATATACAGTACTGAATCCATATTTGTCATGTTTATTATTCTGTATCCACTTAAATTAATTACATTCTGACAGTTTGAGATAAAGGTATCAAACCAACTGTAAAATATTCAGAATATTATTCCTTATAATGCACAAGTCTTGGTTTTCCAGATTATGCCTTTACTGTTTTTATATACAGTACTGAATCCATATTTGTCATGTTTATTATTCTGTATCCACTTAAATTAATTACATTCTGACAGTTTGAGATAAAGGTATCAAACCAACTGTAAAATATTCAGAATATTATTCCTTATAATGCACAAGTCTTGGTTTTCCAGATTATGCCTTTACTGTTTTTATATACAGTACTGAATCCATATTTGTCATGTTTATTATTCTGTATCCACTTAAATTAATTAATCTCTGACACAGTTTGAGATAAAGGTATCAAAACAACTATAAAAATATCCAAATATTATGCAATTTAATGCACAAGGCTTGTTTTTTCAGATTATGCCTTTATTGTATTGTTGCATGATGGTTAATTTTGCTTATTAATTTATATTGAACAATTTTTTAATCCAACCCAATCACATTTTTAAGGCCAATTTACACCAAGGATGATAACTGTAACTATACAGTTTCTATACAGTTTTCTAATTCTATGAGAATAGGTCCAGCAATAACAGCAATGTGGAACAATATCTTTGGAATCACTTTTAGAATTATTTTTTTTTCTAGCTGATGAGTGAAAAATTCAAAAATCAAAAAAATGTAATCTGTCTTATCTTGAATTGGTGTGGATGCTAATCGTTCTTTATAGTTATGTACTATATTGTTAAGAATGACACTAGTGTTTTTTTGTGTGTGTGTTCAAAATAAGGTACCTGTAAGACAGCGCAAAGCCAATCTTTGACTCGCTGAGCCTCAACAGGAAACAGCCTTGTGGCTTATCCTTCAGCAGCTGTTCCGCCTCCCTGAGAGAGTGAGAAAGATGGGTTGTGTGAAAATGTAAGCCGAATAGTATATGTATTTGACACTGTTTCACATCTGTGTTTGTGCAACATTGCTTGTGCACCTGTTTTTCTGTTATGTTTTGGAAGAATATTTAGATGTGGCTGTAACCTGCGTGTAGCGAAACCATGGAGCCAGCGGGGAAGAGGCTGTCCTGGCCTGTGCAGTCGCGGCAGCTGCGTTCTTTCAAACCACAGCAGAGTGTGAGCGCGCAGAGATGGAGTCAGAGCCTCCAGGGGCCTCACGGGACCCAAAACCAGAGCAGGATCTATCCGCTTCACTGTCGTCTTTAACAGAGGGAATCCAAAGTAGGATGTAATTTAGATGTAATTTAAATACAATTTAAAAAACATTTTAAAAATATTTAAAAAGATGAAATACTACTTGATATGTGCCTTTGCAGTGCATTACAATGTCAAATGTTTTCATGGTTTTTCTTACTAGTACTTTTGAAACTTTAAACTACAAAAATCTCATGATGAACATAAACATGGAAATAGACTTAAACATTCCAAAAAAATAATAATTTGTAGATAATGTGAATAAATGCTCTACAAAAATTGAAATCACCTTGACGTGATTTTGAAAATGACTTCAGAAGCCCCCCCCCACAAGATGTGCAAATAATATTTACAGGACGGCTCACTTTGGTTAAAGACGTGATCATGTCGCATTAAACATCTCATGAAATCTAACCAGCTACTCTCTCACTGATTAAGAACTGATAGTGAACTGTTAGTGATTGTGTGCAGATTTCCTTTTCAAACTTCTTGTGAAATATTCAACTGATGTACTAAAGCTCAAATAAACAACCTGACAAATTGCTTATGAAAAGTTGCCTTGCACTAGAAAACAAAATTAGTGGAAAAACCAAATTGCATCAGAAATTGCCAGTAAACTTCACAGACAATTACAAAGAATCAGAAAGTAACACATTGAATTCAACATGAGATTTTGAAGTAGAAAAAACTGAAATGTTATTTTCTTTTAAAACATACTCCAATAATTACTTTGAAAAGTATTTTTTTTTTACAGTGTGCCACGATTTATGTTTTTTAATCAATACGAGTACATCTTTATGACATTCTTTAAAACAAAAGCTTTGAAAAGATATGTATCAACATAGCTTGCAAAATTGATATGTGGAGGTCCTCATAAATCGATTGACTTTTTAATCATAATGTCATGTTGCTGCAGTTTTATTGGGTTTCTGTAGATTTTTGAATGCCTGTCTATAAAACAAAACTCATGTTGTTTAAAACTATCAGTAGAAAGTTTCCCTCTTCAACACAAATTGTGAACATGTAAATTTGTATCTGTGTATCCTGTATAGGTTTGAGCACAGTGAGTGTGCTGTTAGGGTGAGACAGAGATAGACAGTGAGAACATGTGTGTGTTTTGTGTGTGTGTGTGTGTGTGAGTGAGAGAGAGAGAGAGACAAGAGGCAGTTGCGTCACGTGACTTGCTCACCACACAGGATGAGAAAGAATGACCACAATGAAGGTGATGAGAAAAGAAAGAGATGACAAAAGAAGTGTACAAACGGTAAGCAGAATACTCTGCCCAATCCCCACAAGCTGTTCTTTAAATTTGACGGAAAAGCCACATTCCTTTACAGTGTTTTGGGATACATAATTAGATTTCTTCTTTGTCTTTTCTTTCTTTTTTTGGTTTTTCATTTAGGCCTATATTATTTTAACTTTTTTATTTTAAAGTTATTCTTTTTTTATCTTCGGTTCAAAATAATTATCAAAATAATTCTTATTTAACAACAATTACATTTTTGTGTCCATTGTTCTAATTTTATATTATTTTGTTCATACTCTTTCCAAATATTGACTAGCTGACAGTTACAGGACACATCCACTAGATGGCGCAAGTACATTAACAGTGAGAATGAACTTCGGAATGAGAAAGGAATGAAAATGACCCGTCTTTCGTTGCACTCGACAATAGCCACTAACAATAGTCATGCAAAAGTCATGCATACCAAATTACATACAACGGTTTTATTTAATGTGGTTTTCATGTACATTATTACATCCTAATTTGATTCAAAACTTATGCTTCAAAAATGTGTTGGTTAAGAACAGCTGTCCAGCCATTAGATCTGAGCTGAGTCCAATTTAATTCTTGCCTGCAATATTACAATCACCTTAACTAATACTTTAATAATTGTCCGACTTGCTACTCTTGCTTAAATGCATAAATAAATATTTTTGTGTTGCAGAAATTCACCAATTTAACCTCAATCTCTTAACCGTGAATTCCAGAGGTTTATGGAGCTGCAGAGAGAGAATTACTTATACCCCCGTTTTCATGAGGTGTGTTGCGGCAAGCAGTTTTAACATTTAGTACTTAAAACTCACTGGTGTATGTTAGTACGAATATATTTTTAATTACCTCTAAATAATCCAGTGGTAATCAATATATAGATGAATTTGACTATTAAACTGCTGGTTATTAAAATGCTAAGTAATCCAGTGGCAATCAATATATAGTTGAATCTTATTATTAAACTGCTGGTTTCCTCTAGCCAGATAAATAATGGTGACTTGACTATTAAAGGTGGGGTAAGCTATTTTTCAAAAACGCTTTAGAAAATTGATTCGGGCCGAATAGCAAAACAAACTTGTAGCCAATCAGCAGTAAGGGGCGTGTCTACTCATGATGTGGAGGAGAGAGCATTCAGTGTACAGAACGGACATTAGCCGAGCCGAGCGACAGAACGATAGAGATGGCGGATAAAAAACAAAAGAGGAAAACGTCAGCAGAACAAAAGAAGCCTTAAAGCAAGAAGTAGGACCCGTGTAAATATCGGATCAGCCTTCCAGCGCTGGAGAGAACTCAAGGAGCGGAAGGCCTGCGATCGGACGCCAAGGTTGCTTTGTTTCTTCTCGATAGGTGAGTAACACCGTGTCTGCGCCGCAACAGCTAAAGATTGTCTAGTACACTGGACACGACAAAGCGACCGTTGAAAATCATCTGAAATGTGTGTCAATACGTCATGAATAGAACGCAGCAGCAGTTTTCTGTCGGGGATTTGTCGTGTCGCGCCGCATCCAGTGTAGACCATAGTGTAACATTGGTTTTGCTTTGTTTCACAGAACTAATCGTTGCCTGGGTTGCGTACATATGTGTGGGGCGGAGCTATCAAACTAGGGGCGAGACCCTTTTGGAGTAGGGGCGAGTTTGTTTTGGTGATTTCAAATGTCAACATTGGCTACCAGAAATCGCTTACCCCACCTTTAACTTTTCATTAGATGGTACTACTTGTTTGTAAGTGTTTTTTTTTCTAGAAGTAAATAGTTTTTTAGTTTTAGTAGTAAAAACTGATTCACATGTCCAGTTTCACTTGTATTTATTTGTTAGAAGCTGATCCTTATTCCTCTGCAAGTCACTATTTTAGAGGTGATAAGTAACTATTCCAGTTTTACTTGTAAATGCTATACTATTAGTTTATAAATTCCATGAGTGTCTGTGGTTCATATTTCAACTATTCTCTTGTAACTAGTATGTATTTCAATTTCTGATACCCATTCCAGTTTTCCTAATATTAGTTACTACAGCTTATTATTTAGATACTTGTAACTCTTTAAATAGTTACTATAATTTATTTACTACTTATTTACAGTAGCCTATTGATATCTATTTCTAGACACTTCACAACAGCACTATTAATAGGCCTATTTTGGGCAAGTAATTAAAGAATAACTACTACCTAATGATGACTAGTAAAACTAGAATAAATACATCCTCATGACATACTGTACATGTGATTAGTTGTTATCTGAGTTCCACATATAAATGGATTATATTCACTACTGGAACAAGTAGGCAAGTTGTTTTAGTAGGATTAGATTGATTGTTTACTAGAAATTTTGAGAAGTTAGTAAGTTAGTGTAGAGGAGTAGGGGAGCATGGGGCATAAAGTAACGTGGCGTCAGTTGTAACACATGTGGTTTGAAAATTTTCACACATGCTAGCATAACAAAATTGACAGTATTTATTAGTTACCATATCAACATTATATAGACAAAATGTGCACCAAAATTCAAAAATCTTTTGAAGATATCGCTGAACATTAATTTTACCTTAGTAAAATTAAAATTCTGGCTTAAGTACATTTTTCATCTCCAATCTGTTATTTATCAGTTCAGATCGTTTTTTAATGCTTTGATAACTAGCAGAAGACACTAACCAGTTTTAAATTCCAGTTGCACAGATGGGGCACGTTGTAACACTGCGTTACAATGTGCTATTCTATGACATTAGCGATAGGGCTGGGCAAAAAATCAAATGCGATTTTCATGTGAATCTCGCCAGTAAAGCCGCTTCTGGTGATTAGTAGTAAATCTCCAGCACATGCTTTCAGATGGAGCGGCATTTACTACACAGAGCCGTAGAACACTGACAAGCTTCACAAAATCACGTTCAAAATCGCAGGCAATTCATTACCGTTTTTGAAAGCGATTTTGTCTAGCTTGTCAGTGAACTACGGCTCTGTGTAGTAAATGCCGCTCCATCTGAAAGCACGTGCTGCAGATTTACTATTAATCACCAGAAGTGGCTTAACTGACGACGTGCGCATGAAAATCGCATTCGATTTTTTTGCACAGCCTTAATTAGCTATGTAATTTATACTATTTACTTTAATGAATTTTAATGAGAAACAGGTGAATAAAGACTGACAGTCAATGTTTAATGTTTAGAAATTATTATTTCAAGACATGTAAAGCATTTTTGCTCGTTTAGGTGGGCCGTCCCAAGCATGGTTGCAATGTGTTCACTATCAAACTCCAAAATCAGATTTTTTTAATTCTTAAAAAATGCCATTATTTTATTATTTTTTTTTTTTCATTAACAAAATATTTTAGTTTGTCTTGTATATATTTTTTTCATTCGATCAGATAACATTTTAAGCTGTCATATGGTTATGTTACAACATGCCCCTCAGATGTTACAATGTACCCCACCTACTGGACATGTTGTCACATTTCACTACCATTATTTGAGGGTAAATAAAGAAAAACTTATACACTGTAATTATGAAACAAAGCGACATATTTGTACTAGACAAGTGTAAAATTACTGTGGATAAAAATTTACACAAACTGAGAAAGTCAAAAAGTGTTACTTTGTGCCCCGCTCTCCTCTAGTGTTAAAATGGCTTGCCACATGCCGGCACTGCACTGACATGGTCAACACGAGCGTTTCCTCATTTCAGTGCTAGCGCGTCCGCAGCGAGCCAAGCTCCGGAGGAAATACCGTCCGTCAAACAGACACGACGCGGCTTCATGACGGATCTATGCCAGGTACGTCCCATAATTCAACCGATTCTTCAGGTGTTAAAATGGCTTGCCACATGCCGGCACTGCACTGACATGGTCAACACGAGCGTTTCCTCATTTCAGTGCTAGCGCGTCCGCAGCGAGCCAAGCTCCGGAGGAAATACCGTCCGTCAAACAGACACGACGCGGCTTCATGACGGATCTATGCCAGGTACGTCCCATAATTCAACCGATTCTTAAGGTTACAGGGGATTTGGCATGGAATAGGCTCTTCTATATGAAAGTAGCGGGATAAGAGAAAATCAATTGTGAACATATGTCGCAGTGCATGATAGAAGTTAATAATACAAGGAAATGTACACTAATTTAATCGTTGCATCGTGATCGTGACACTTCGGGGCTTCCTAGGTGCGGAGCTCAGAAATACTAGCAGTGGAATTAATATCAAACAGACACGACGCGCGAGAATGAGACACGAACAAGTTTCCACACGCAGGTCTCGGTCGTGTTCTGCACAGAGTCGACAGGAGACGTTCGATTTGGTTATACTGTATTTTAAAATTTTTTATTCGATTTCGTTTCATTTCATGTGAGATTTTCTGTTATTGTCAGACCAAAGCAAAACGGAACAAAAGCAAAAAACTGGCTGTTTAAACGTTCACTTTTATTCACATTTGCTTTGCTCACAGACTGCAAATTTCTCAAGACTCCTGCAGTGTAAAAACCTTGTGCGAGTTTCAAAACTGGCAGTTGACAGCCACAGACTTTATTAATGAAATAACCAAGAAACACAGATTGTTGCATAACTAGTTAGTGATAGGTGCTCAGCACCAGATGTACCAGGTTCTGGCTAGTAACCCTCCCAGGCCCTGAGGGTAAACAATTAGACCCGATCTTTCTTCTGGATTTAGGGTTTTTCAAAAAAACAAGTGTTTAAAAAAAAAAATGCACGTTTATTTGGCCATATTTGGTTTATAGCGCATAGATTTAGCTGAAAGCTGCATTGGGAAAGTAGGCGTTACTGATTGCATGTGTAAGTTTTTCCTCACATTGTAAAACAAGTTGTCAGGTAACCCAACATGTGATTTATATGATAACATCAGATTAACTGGTTTTATTCAAGTCAAAGCTGTATTTTAACATTACTTATTCAGCCTTCGGGTTATATTGGGATTAAAAGTTCGATCAAGCAGAAATTTTGCACATTACCATTTTACAGTTTAGGTAAGCAAGGTAGGCTATAGGCTCCTGTATGTCATTACATATTATACATTATACATTTTGTGTATGTGTGTGTGTGTGTGCGCGCGCGCATAAAGTGAAGCTGAGTTTAAATAGTGGGTTATATGTGTTTGCTGTGGTAGTTTGCTATATATATATTCCAATGCAAAAGCCTCTAAAAGCCATCTTGGTCAAAAATGAGATAACGATACTGAGTGAATCAAGTACTTTCACTTCACATGCGCTAAATCCCAGCCTCAACCCATTCAGAAGTACACATAGAAACCTATACATAAAAGCCAGAAAGAAATGTTTATTTTAAAGAAAAATGTCAGATGTACTTAGAGGCTTTTTTCATATATATATATATATATATATATATATATATATATATTTATTTATATTTATTTATTTTATTTTATTTATTTAGTCATTTAGCAGACGCTTTTATCCAAAGTGACTTACAAATGAGGACAACAGAAGCAATCAATTGTAGTATTAAACATAACACTAAATTGAAAATAAATTTAAATAAATGAAAAATTTAAAAATTTAAATAAAAAATTAAAATAACACTGAGCCAAACACCAAAAAAACAACGTACATGTTGTTTGTACGTTTGTATACACACATACATATACTGTATATATATATATATATATATATATATATATATATATATATATATATATATATACACATATATAATTCAATATATATATTATTTCATTTTCATTTAGTTTGTTGAAGTAATAAAAAAACTAAAATGAAATAAAACTAAAACTTAACAAAAGACCTATACAGACAATTTAACTAAAATTAAAATAAATAACAAATACAAATAATACAAATCAAACAACAGTAGTTTATCAGTAATCCTAAAAAATAACACTGCCAAACGTACATGCTAAAAAACAACAACTTACTTACACATAGTAAGAAATGGTTATAAAAACTGAAACAGAAGTGAAACAAGTTGTAGGAAAGAGGAGAAATAAAAAGCGATACTATATATATATATATATTGGTCTTGTCCATTCTTAGACATTCTTTCCCCATGATTTGCCATCCATTTTTCTCCCTCATTGTTTTCCTCATTAATGTTGTTCTGATTCTGTAGCTCTGGGACTTTGATCTTAATCAAGGATGTGATCATTATTTTGGGCGTTTTATGGCTGGAGATCTGATCCTAGATTCAGCAGGAAGTTTTCAGGTTTTGGAATTGCTCATCAAGTTCTTTCTTTGATCTGATACAGAAGGGAATGGAAGCAAGCTCACGCTCAAATTTCAGAACTCACTCACTTAAACCCGCAGGCGCAGTCACTCACACATTTGACTCAACTGAGTTTACAAAATGAAGTAGCTAACATATTCAGCGCATTTTCTAGACGGACAAATATGACTGCTACACTCGCGTCTCACACAAGAGATGTATAGAAAGCCATGCAAAGTTAAAACAGTTTAAACTTTTAGAAAACATGTCACGAATTTGTGGCGGTTTATTCCTTTTTTACTGCGTATCATATGTTTTTAAATGCAATCTGCGTAATGGGCGATTCGGCTCTTTGTATTAAGCAATGCATAAATATGTGATGCTGTTTTGTTCATAATTGTTTATGCAATTTACGAAATTATATTTGATTTATATGAGTTAATTTAGATGTAATGCATGTTTTTTATAGACAGTTATTTCCTTGCAGTGACAATTTAATGTGCTGCATTATTTTGCTCATTGTGCCCTCCTGTGGCCTCAGGAAACAAGCCAAAGGTTTAACCTATTTAATCTGCATATAGAACAATAGAAATGAGATATTTGTAAAATTTTCATTTTGTGTTTGACTGGTAAAACTAAAAAATATTTGTTGTTTGTCTCAATAAATTGAGTTCATTTAAAAATACAGTGGTTAAATGTAAAAAAAAATTTTGATTGCTCTTTGTTTTAAAAAAGGTTATAAAAATGTCAATAATTATCGATACCGAACGATATGAAACATTATATCGTTGATACATTTTTTTAGCTATATCGCCCAGCCCTAGGTGACATTTTGGAAAAGAACTCTTGATCAATGCAGGCTTTCCATCTCTGTTCCTTTCCCTCTAAACACAGTTAATGCGTACTTTAAGCAACGCAACCAACATGCGCTCTAAACACTTTAAATATCCAGTGTGCTCTGTCAACTTCAGTTTGGCACACAGAAATATGTGCTGTTGTCTTTATCATCACAGAGCAATGCAGATGGATTCTGGAGCACGAGATGTGTGTTGTGATTGCATGTGTGTGTGGCATGTGTCTTCTAGATACAAATGTTTGATTGTATCTGTGTTATGTAAAATAACTTTTTTCAAAAGATACTCCCCGAGTCCCTTGATTGTTTTTTCTCTTTCTGCTTCTAAGCACTGAGCTCTGATTGGCTGACTGGCTATTCCAGACACTGTTAGACTATGATTAAAAACACTTGAATTAATTTTTCTAAAGAAAACGTGTTTGGTTCGTTTCTGTGTGAAACTAACAGCCACGGTGTTAGATAGCTGCTTGCTAGGGTGTCGTTATATGGTTGCTAGGGTATTGCTAAGGTGTTCTTGGTTGCTGCCATTGCTATATGGTTGCTAGGGTGTTTTGGTTTGTTGCTTTGGCATTTCAGGCAGGTTGCAAGGGAATTGCTATGTGGTTGCTATGGTGTTTGGAGTGGTTGCTAGGGTATTTTTTGTTGTTGCCAGGGCATGCAATTTGGTTGCTAGGGCTGTATTGTAGCTAAGGTGGTCTGGGTTGTAGCGAGGGCATTTCTATATGGTTGCTTAGGCATTGCTATATGGTTTTTAGGGTGTTCTCTGTGTTTGCTAGGGCATTGCTGGGTGGTTGCTAGAATGTTCTGTGTGGTTGCTTAGGCATTGCTGGGTGGTTGCTAGGGCATATTGCTAGGTGGTTGCTAGGGTGTTCTGGTTGCTAGGGAATTGCTGGGTGGTTGTTTGAATGTATTCTGTGTGGTTGCTTAGCCATTGCTGGGTGGTTGCTAGGGTATTCTAGTTGCTTAGGCATTGCTAGTGGTTGCTAGGGTGTTCGGGTTGCTACGGCATTGCTAGGTAGTTGTTAGAATGTGTTCTGTGTGGTTGTTTAGGCATTGCTGGGTGGTTGCTAGGGTGTTCTGGTTTCTAGGGCATTGCTATGTGGTTGTTAGAATGTGTTCTGTGTGGTTGCTAGGGTGTTCTGGTTGCTAGGGCATTGCTATGTAGTTGTTAGAATGTGTTCTGTGTGGTTGCTTAGGCATTGATGGGTGGTTGCTAGGGTGTTTGGGTTGCTAGGGCATTGCTATGTGGTTGCTAGGGTGTTTTTGTGGTTGCTAGGGCTATATTGTAGCTAGGGTGCTCTGTGCTTTTGTTGTTGTGAGAACATTAAAGCTGCAGTCCGTAAGTTTTGCCTCTTTGTCGCCATCTCTGTTTAAAAATTGGAATTGCAGCTGTGTGCGGAATTATCTAGCTTGCGTCGGCACGGCTCCAGCGAGGATGAATTTAATGTTCTGAAGAGTATGTGTGGCAGTCAGTCACCGCACCGGTGTGGATATTTACTGTACTTCGCAATCACAGATTCTAGCCTACATCTTGGAATATGACCCAAATAAGAATTTTCACCGTATATTGCCATCTGAACAAGTAAGCAACAAGTTTACCACATTTGTTCTGACTAACTGAGGAAAAAAGCATTATCATAAATCTCGCTACCAATGGTGATTAAATCTAAAGATCAGTTAGCTCATATCAAATCGTGCAAATTATTATTATTGTTATACTTTATTCTCAAATGATTAATGTTAACAACATCAGCATTGGTGAGTATGAGTAGTGTGTATTAGTGTGTAGATTTTAATTTCTGCACAGCCTAATCTAATTGTCATACTCTTTAAATTTCGTATTAAGACATTAATTTAACCCAAAAAGCAAATTATGCTCCCTTTGAATTGATTTTCTTTAAAATACAAATCTTTGTAATCCCAGGCTATCTGTAATCAGAAGCACATTTATTACTGGAATATAATTTAATTTCATTCACATGTGTTTCATAAACACATAATCCTTTCTGGATTACAATCCGCCATCAAAATGATACATTTAATTATTCTGGCTGCTGTGAGAAAAGGCTATAAACGATCGACCACCTGTAGGATCCTCACATCCTACTTAGCGTTACTTAGCGTTACCTACTTAGCATCCTAGCCTAGTAGCCGGGACAACTTCTTTATGTTTACAGAAGTGACGTAATGACGCAGTGCCATCCTCAAATTTCCCGCAAAAACCTACCCGTACCACTCAAATTAGAAAACATTATTATAAGCTAACCGTTGTGAATCAGGCTAAAGTAAGGCGATAACACTGGCTGGTTATGTACTTGCTCAAATATTGATTTCGGATAATTTTTAACCAAAAGAAATTACGGACTGCAGCTTTAAGGTTGCTAGCATGATTTTATGTATTGCCAGGGGATTAATGTTTTCGTCGCTAGGGTCCTCTAAATGGTTGCTAGGGTGTTCTGGGTTGTTGCTATGGCATTATTAAGGCTTGTTGTAGGGGCGTTGCTATATGGTTGTTAGGGTATTATGGATATTTGCTAGGGCATTCCAGGTGGTTGCTTGGGCATTGCAGGTGCATTTCTATATGGTGGTTGCTATATGGTTGCAAGGATATTTTGGTTCATTGCTAGGGCATCTTGGGTTGTTGCTAGGGCATTGTTAGGGTGTTCTTGATTGTTGTTTCCAGGGCTTTGTTGTAGTGTTGTCAAAAGACCCGGTACTTCGGTACCAAGTCGGTACTAAAAAAATGAAAAGGTTACGGTACCAGGTTTTTTTAAGTAGCGGTGGTACCGAGTACCCGGTCAACCCGGTTCTTGATGCGCTATCTGAAAGGTGCATGGCGACATCAAAAGGAGGAAACACACCAAACTAAACAAAACACTTTTAAAGACAGACACATTGACACAGACACAGACACATCCCATACATTGATTTATTTGTGGCGGCTCGCCACAATATCAAAACTGATCGCCACAAATAGATTTTCCAAAAGGCTTATTTGTTGAATAAACATGAGCACTGCACGAGTGCACGTGTCAAAGTCGAAACCCGGTGTGGGTGTTTTTATATCACTGTATTTCTGAAGGAAACCGACTATCTTCAGAAAATTATGGATGTAATTTTCATTTCATCTTGCCTGTAATGCCTGAGCAGCGTTTGTGAGCGTAGCGCTTATTTGATTACAGCCATTACTGGGGAAACCTCTATCTCTCCCGCTCTACAAGCGCCTCCTGCTGGCAGAGAATGAATTTGCATATATATGCCGCCACAAATAGAGTGCAAGTCTGTGGGAAACACCGATGAAATAAACCCTGTTATTAGAGTAGTTAATCGTTAGCATAAGCGCGGCTAACGCTAATATAATGAGTATTAGAATGAAGTTTCTTTATTAACTATTTAATGATCCTATAACTTTTATTAGGGTAAAAAAACAGGAGGACATGATGATATTTACTATTTTTACACACCAGAGGCTTTTAAATGAATTGTGAATCTAAAATATGCGTGTTAGTAAATGTACAAATGGTTAACGTTGTTTGTGTCATATCAGTCAGAAAAGGTTTTTTTTTTTAGCTAACTTAGTTGTTATTCTTGGCTGAATAACTCTAGAAGGTTTTCAAAAGCCCTTAAAAATTAAATATGTACACAGTTTGGATTAAATGAAAGTATAGTCAAATTTTTTAATTAGCATGTTTTTGTGTTTTGCTTTGGTATCGAAATTGGTACCGAGAACAGTGGATTTTCACTGGTATTTTGGTACCATGACAACACTACTTTGTTGTATGGTTGTAAGTATGTTCAGGCAATGTTTCTAGAGCATTTCTATGGTTGTTGCTAGTGTGATCAGGGTGGTTGTCAAGTGTGAAATTTGCTACTTAAGATCTAGAGTTTGTTTATTACAATAAAAGAAATAATAATAGCAATGCTTAGTCTATGAGAGAGAGTCTACATGTTTTTTTTTTTGTTTTGAATTAGTGTTTGCTCACCTGCAGACGCAACAGATTTGTCCAGCTTGTATTCAAATCAGATAAACTGCCATTTGCAGTTGCTCTCACATTCCATATTTTCCACATTCACAGCACATTTACATTATTTACATTGATTACAATGCAATGTGAAATAATCCACCTTCATACATTTTCTCCTCTGAAATCGATAAATGATAGATTATATGGGGGGGGGGGCAGGCAAACAGATATTTTTTTGTTTGTCTTGTCACTCCATAAATAATCTTTCTCCTCCCAACTCCTCCTCATTCATTTTCTCATTTCTTCCTCCCATAGTGACAAACTGTGTAAGCCATTGAAAACTAATTACACCACACCTCAGTGTGGGGAATGGACTCATTATTTAAGAATGCATTAATATAATCATGGAAGGGTAACTGAGGTCTGGGCAGTTTTCCACACTATATTCATGCTCTATGTTGCAAATTGTGACCTAATGGTTTGTCCACACTTGGCTGAAGTTTAAAAGACTGTCTTGTTTACATCTGTTTGAATTGCCAGAACATTTAGTGCAACATTCTTTCTCATGTATGTAGTTCTGGTGTATCAGATGGGTTTGGATTCCAGATGTTTACCCTTTGGGGACTCATAAATGATTTCCAGATATCTCTCCTTTTCTGTTCCCATAGTATAGTTGTGCTGTCAGATCAGCCTTTAAAGTCATGAAATGCTTATTTAATGTAAATGATCATGCAAGTTTAGTTAAATTCTGAAAGAAATGTTTTCTATTTGTTTAGAGAAATAGGCCACTTACTACCGTCCTGTGTTTTATAGGTGTGGACCTAATGCTAACTCCAGTAAGAGAACTATACAGTAGCCCATAGCTTGCCTTTGGACACTGACAGACAGAGGACACTGAAGAGACACAGCAGCATGGCTGTCTTCAAGCTGGATAATGTTGAAGATCTGTATGCGATTGGAAATGTTTTGGGAAGGTAAAGAGATGCACAGCTGTTTATTGTCTGTCTTATTCTCTTTACTTAAAAAAAAAGATGTATCAGATGACAGTATCATGGTATATACTATTGTCCAAAAGTTTGGATCATTGAGATTGTTGTTCTTTTTTTTAAAGAAATGTATACTTTAATTCAGCATGGATCCATTAAATAGACAGTAAAACAGCAAAAACCTTTACGTTGTTACAATAATAATAATAATAATAATAATAATAATTCAAATAAATACTGTTCTTTTGAGCTTTCTATTCAGTGAAGAATCCTGAAAAAAGCATATCATAATTAAATGTTTATTGAGAAAATCAGCATATTAGAATGATTTCTGAAGGATCATATCACACTAAAGACTAGAGTAATGATGCTGAATATTCAACTTTGCCATCATAGGAATAAATTACATTATAAAATATTGGGGGGAAAAAAGTTAAATTGTAATAATATTATACACTGTTTTTACTGTATTTTTGCTCAGATTAAGTTAGCATAAGAGAGGTTTTTCAAAAACATTAAAAACTCTTACCAACCCCAGATTCTGAATGGCTGTGTATACCAAAATATTGATCTAACAATAATATAATATAAAAACAATATGATCATTTTCATATATATTGGTATTTAAATAGTATTTTAAAGGCACTTCAAAGAATATTTTGGTATTAACATAGCAACATTTCCAAAATATCCATTTTGTAAATATTCAAACACAAAACTAATGAATTATGGTTCTTTTTTTTCTTTTTTAATGTGGTTCTATTGCTTAATTATTACATTAAAATGAAACTACATGAAAAACTTTAAATAAAAAATAATAAAAAAGTGAAAATTAAAATAATTTACAGTGCCATATATACAAAATTCTTACTATGTACATTATACAATAGGTTCACTATACAGTCATTGTACTGTATATATGATTATCGGTTTTGACCCTTTTTAGGAACACAGTTGAATAACTACCTAGTTCTTATCTCCATTCATTCTGTCTATTGCCATCCTAGTGGTCACTTCGGGCAGGTGCGTGAGGTGCGGGAACGGGCCACTGGTGTTCTGTGGGCGGGGAAGTTCCTGAAGCTGAAGAAAGGTGCAGGAAGCAGGCTGGGCCTGGAGAGGAAGAGTGTGGAGAAGGAGGTGGAGATCCTACAGAGCCTTCAGCATCAAAACATCATGGCTCTCAAAGATGTTTTTGAGAGCAGGGCAGAGTTGGTCCTCATCATTGAGCTGTGAGTATGTGTTTGTTTTTTAAATACAATACATAACAGGGGCGCGGGAAGATGTTTTCGGTTGGGGGTGCTGTGTGTGTCCGTGTTGGGTGAAAGGGAGGGAGGGGGGCTGGTGTTGTTTGGATGCCGATTTTGGAAAGTTTTTGCTGGGATGGGCTTTTAAAAAAATCTGAAATTTGCTTTTGCGCCATTATCTCCTTCTATTAAAGTTAATCTTGTTCGCATTCTGTGTCACGTGTTCATGAGGATTAGGCTAATCATCCCATATAGAAAACATCACAAGTAAAATTTATCATGTTTATAAAGATAAACATGGGTTTATTATAGCCCACTTACAATTTACATTTCAGAGATCATTACAAATAAATGATTAAATGCTAAAACTGAATAAATTTAAATGAACAAACTTGGCGTTGCATTTGCAACCATGTGAAAACAGGGGGTGCTGCAGCCCCCTCAGCACCCCTACTTCCCGAGTCCCTGGTACATAAAAGAATATGGCGTAAACACACCTGAATGAAGGTGCTGAGAGATTGTGTTCAATAAAGGAATGATGATTCTATATTGAAAATAACAGAAAGTTATCAAATAATTAATATCACCATGTGAAATGTCCATCGTATTTCACCTAAAAATAAAAAGTAAAAAATATAAAATATATTTTGCATGGCCTCTTTTTAAATTATAATTTTTTCATGACAATTTAACATATTTTACTCCCAAATTCACATTGCAGTTTTTTTTTTAATTAAAATCAGCATTAATTCAATTTAATTACAGTTGCACTTTACAATTTAAATACTGTATTTAAATTGAAAAAAAATTGCATTACATGAGAATAAGAGTTTTTCATTGTTCTATGGTTCATTCTTCTTTCATGTTGATCTTACCTTTTTTGTATATAGCATAAAGGGCGGCGAGCTCTTTGATTTCATTGCTGAGAAAGAAAACCTCACAGAGACGGAAGCCATTGAGTTCATGAAGCAGATTCTGGAAGGTGTCAGCTACATGCACCAAAAATACGTTGCCCATTTTGACCTGAAGGTAGGCAGGAAGCCCATTTTTATGCTAGCCTCCATCTAAGTCAGAAAACCGAACCAATTAACCACATGCACAGTTTCAAATGACCTTTGAAAGTAAATTTTTACTCTGTGTGGCAAACATGTCTCTTCCTATAAAGATTTCAAAATGGTAATGAGGAAGTGGACTGTGTACCTTTCTCACCCAAGCTGTCACCTCTGACCAAAATAAATTTGACACTTCGAACACAACAATATTTATTCAGACAAATATTTCGATTGCGTTCACATTGTGAAAATCCTTTAAATCCACTACATTTATTATATATTTAAATATCTGTAATATTTATTTATATCTGTGTCATCAAACCTTACTGAGCTTCTGAAAGAAACCTTACCAGTATTTTACTGACCTAAAAAATCTGTGTAGAAAAATACCTTGGTTAGGGTTAGATGAATTTCAATACAGGTTTAAAGGGGTCCTATTATGCTTTTTCACTTTTTCAACTTTAGTTAGTCTGTAATGTTGCTGTTTGAGCATAAAAAAGATCTGCAAAGTTGCAAAGCTCAAAGTCCAATTCAAAAGGAGATATTTTATTTAGCAGAAATCACTTTTCAAAAACTACAACGATCGACTCGTTTGGACTACAACGCATATTTTCTGGGATTTGTGATATCACAAATATTGACGAAAGGGACGAGACCTGGTTGAGCTGCACTACAGAAGGCAACGAGTGTTATCACTATGTCAGAGACATGCTAGCTTTCCCAAGGCAGACAAACT